ACAGCAGCAGCAGCGGCGGCAGCAGCAGCAGCAGCAGCAGCAATACCGTCAAAGACAGCAAGAATTCGTTGAAAACGAGTAACTCCGATATGCGTAAACAATTCTTAGCTAGCCTGGCACCACTCTCGTGTGTAACCGTTGACAACACCGACGCTCGAGAGGATTACTACCAACGTTCTTCAAGTTACAACGCCTTTTCACCTTACCAGAATATCGAGATGACGTTGCAGGAGAACGATCGGAATTACGTAGGTCCACCGGATGTTACCAAAGGTACACCGATAATTACCAGCAGACTTGACATAGGGGACAGTGCAACGGATGAATTACTAGCGTTCGTCGAACAGGACAAATTTAGAACCGAAAGAATAAAGCGACGTTACAACGAAGTTGAGAACCAGTATCGTCCGATACTAACGAATAATACGAATGGTTTTACGGTCGACGATACTAGACAACAACTCACCCACCGTGAAAATGCGAAACGCGGAAACAATGGAGATAAGAAGAATCGTGGCGGTGAGATGGCTAATCGCAGTTACAACAACGGCAACGACAATAACGGCGGCGGCGACAACGAGGAGGACAACGAGGACGACGAATTGAACGATTACGGATTTAATCGTAGACCGTCTGTAACCGGTATCAAACAACGACAGTCGGACAACATCGGCCAAGAAGCTTTTCATCGACGAGCGACGCTGGAAAATGATAACGCGAACATTCCCAAAACGAGTTTCCATTCTTCGTTGCCGAGTTGTTACGAGAACAACTGTGTCAAAGTTAACAGTCGAATCGCGTTATACGACGAAACGATCGACGATTCCATGCGAAACTCGTTCGTAGGTGCCGCTTTGGTTACCGACGAACCAGACACCAGCACTATCAACAGAATAAATACGATGCAGAAGCAAATCGACGATATATATCGTATCGTAGAGAAGAATACAACCGTTACTGCCCAAAATTCGTTGGAACGTGAGTCGTACACGGACGAAGCGTTTGCACGGCAACACTCTCGATTACCACCGCCGCCGAACGACGCTGCTACTTTCCGTTTTTATCAAGATCCGAGGAACGGACAACAGTATTTTCAGGAGCAATTGAACGTTGCGAATACGCGAGTTGCGCGAGGCATCGCGACCGGAGCTGAAGATATAGACGGTGGTAGTATCGTCGCTCCAACTAGAGATTACACGGCGAACGGTCGTTCCAATTATCGATGTAACGTAGTGCCTACCACCGTATACACCGGACTTCCTGCTAATGGCAAGTGTTATCGAACCGTGTATTTCGTTCCGTACAACGGCTTGTCCGACCCGACTTATCAGAACATACAACGTATTCTGCCGTCGCATCCATCCCCCAGTTACGCGAATCATATCGAGAGATATCCCTATCCTCGATCCAACAAGAACGATCGTCGATTGCAAGCGCAAACACAGCCACCGCCACCACCACCGCCGCCGCCGCCGTCAACGGCGCAGCAACTCGGATATTACCATTTAGGAAATCGTTCGATGTCACCGATACCACCGAATCTTCCTCGAAACGATCATGCTTCTTCCGGTCACTCTGCTGGATCGTCGTCCGCTCCGTTCGATTCTCGGCTCGCTTCGATCCCCTCGTCGCCTAATCCTCCGATCGCTGCGTTACATCATCCTACTCGACAAACCTTGCATCTTCATTTGCATCGTCATCAGCAACCAGATGACTTTCGAATTTCCGGTCTTACCTTGTCCTCGGTTCCTCGTGCTGCTGACAATCGTGCCTTACAGTTTCGTCGTCACGCGCAACGTCAACACCATCATCAGCCTACGTTTTATCGCCTACCATCCACGATACCAACGGTACCATCTTCCTCCTCCTCCTCCTCCTCCTCCTCCTCTTACACCGTGATAGCGCCATCGAGATGCGCTGCATTCGCTGGTACAGGAACCACCGAAGGTTCTTATCGATACTATCAAGTACATTTAGGACGTACAGTT